AGAACTTATTCCAAGCGTTCCAATACAGTTACAAGTACAACTCGATGAGCTCTATTCAGTGATATGATCCGTTTTTCCAAAATCTAAACTATGCTTTTAAAAATCCCACTATACCGGTATATTGCCATGAATATTCTAGTAAAATCATCCCATATTCTTCCAGGATCCTTTTTCAAGCGTTCGAATACGGTTCCAAGTACAACTCGACGAGCTCTATCGAATGGTGTGATCAGGTTTTCTATGCAGAAGATGATTTGTTATAAATTTCTATGTAACAGTATCATGTGGCATAAAGTTATTCCATCCGAAAATATCCACAAAAGACTCGTTCCGAAACTACTTTTAAAATTATAAAGTAATATGATTTCTGTTTTCAGAAATAATTAACTAGAATGCATTCAATCTGTATATCGTCGACAATCATTAGATCAAAAAATTATAATTCAATATCTGAACATCAATTGACAAGAATTAAAATTAACTCCATGGAAAACATAAAAATCATGAACTATGAATACGGCATGGTTCTATTTTCTTAAATAGAACTAATATTGCAACTTTATGATTATTAGTAATTAACCTATCGATTCTTAGCACTGAGTTTCATTCGAGATAAGTCTATTAGAACTTTATAGATGAATATCATTCGTTTTAGTGTTTGAGTTTTCCAAATAATATTGTTCAACTGTGAGATAACAGCATTTATAGTTGAACTGAATTGTGCCATCCTATAGATAAAATATATTAAATAGCTCTAGTACGAAATATTCAAAAATACTCTTCACTAGTGAAAGTTCACATTATGATCTAAATGAATATAAGTGTTCTAAGAAAAATCAATAGACTCAAAATAATAAGAATATTTTGAATAGTCAACAAATTTCAAACTTGTCTATATTTTATAGCCTCTATTTGATTATTTTATCATAGTCAAAAAAGTAGTGTCGTATGAGTTAATATAACAGAAAGGTAGGATTCATGATTGCCTTAAGTTATGAATGCAGTCCACAAGATATTATGAGGATGTGAAGCGTGGCTGTAGATGTGGGTATGTGCGCCTGTGGATTTAAGGTATAGGCATGGGATGTGTGTGTGAAAAAACATTGAACACATCCATAACCCCACCCATCCACACCCTCCCACATCATATTCAACTGAGATCTTTCTTCAGGCGTAAATGTGACGTCATATCTGATCGTGACCTACAGGGAAGAAGAAAATGAAGAGAATCATTTCTATTTCATTGCAAAGAAGTTTCCAATGCACTTAAAGAATGATTTGTACGTTACTTACATGATATTATTTTGGCGAGGCAAGAGTCAATTGTTTTCCAAAGATTTTTTTTGTAAATTTGTGGGATTGTTGTTTGATAGTCGAGAAGTACATCCTCACAGTCAAGTGCAATAATTGACTTATTGCCAATAGAAAGTAATGGCGAATTAGTCATTGCGTTAGTTTGCTTCTTTCTGTCTGTAGTAAAATCGAGGAAATGAAAGGACTGAATTGACAAACAACAGAAGGAAAGTTAAACATTTATTGTTAAGCCATGGTATGACACGTATACAAAACGATGATGAATTAGTTTCGAAAGAACCTTACATAATCATATGTGAGAATGAGACCAATATAGATTTGAATCACTAGATACACAGTTTCTTCCTTTTTTTTTTCGTTGAACCATCACTGAATCATAAGGACATTTTTTTTACGTCGTCGAACTCTTGTGTTCTAGTGATCAATTTAAAATTATTTTGTGCAATAGTTTGCTTAAAATGATAGTCACAGTTCTTGTTCTTAGTAAGAACAGAACGATGTTGATTAAATTGCATAATTTTCAACGAAGATAATGTATGTTCATTTTGAATAAGTCAGACTAAAAATCAATCTTTTGATAGAGCGCCGAAAACTGCGTGAGATACATGATCACAAATTCTCTTCTAACAGATGCATTTTTTTTCAATTGAATAATTACAAGAATGCTCATTAAAATGCGTCATTATGTGTCTGTAGACCGTTAGGATGTATTTTTTAAATCAAATAATGATAAAATAGTGATCCGCGAATGAATTGTTTCGACCATTTTCTAATCATGAACTTATCTTTTCAAAATTCTGAATTGTTTTAAATGATATCGTATTGAAGATCCCAGTGTGTGTATGTAAGAAAAATGCATATGACATTCGCATCCTCTTTTTCTCAGAGAAGAGCAGGTTAGAACAAGCAACTAAAACCAGACGAAACAAAAAACTGTTCTTTGAGGACATCTCTGATTTTTCTATCATTAATTTGATGTGGACGAATGTTAATCATGTTGTTAGTCAACAAATCTTCGCTAACATGTTACTTTGTTGACAAAATATTTTAGCGATAGAATTACATAAAATACAGATGATTATAACATATCTTGAAGGTAGACGGAGTGTCAGGATGAAAATATTGTATTTATCTCCTTCATCTTCACACACAACAAATCTAAAGGATCTGGGTGATGAGTTTGGGTGTGGATGTGTTTTAGCATAGCCCCACCCCCACCCCCAAATATGAGGACTTTACGTCGAATTACGAATCCGAATTCGATTTTGATGCACAACTACACACGATCAGAATCTTTGAAGCATGTTTATTTGATTTTCTTGGCTAAGCATTAAAAGTGTACAGAATCTCAGTATTTTAGATTAATAACGAGTGATACCAGTATGCTTTGGCAAGTTTTGAAGTTGTAAAAAATTGGCTAGACGTCTACCAAGTGTTGTTTCGGTGAATAAAATTTGTTTGTAAAGTGGTGATGGAATCACAAAGATGAAAAAAAGAATGATTTGAGGCATGAATGAAATGTAGTAGGTTCCAAGAGTGAGATAGACGAACCAAGCACTTTGTTCATACATACACGCATCCAAAAACAGTACGATTAATTGAGGCAATGCTGAGATAAAGCAGATGAACGGACCAACTAGTAGATCAGCTCGTTGACGAACTTGTTCAACAATAGTATTACGAGGTGATATATGATGACTAGCCGCTTTTGAACGGCCAATATTGATGATGACCGTCATTCCAGCGATGAAATTAATCAGAAAAGGAATAATTTGGTGTGCAAGAGAAGTATATCGAACAATGACCTTTCGATTTAGTGGAATCTCTCTGACACAGCTGGCATATATATAATCAGGATGAACGACCAATTTATATTCGATGATGTATGCATAAAGAGAAGAAAACAAGCCCAGAAACGTTATAGTACTTAAAATAATGGCAAATCGAGGCGTACGAAGTAATCGAAATCGAGTAGGCCAAGTGACAATCAATGCTCGTTCGACAGTGACAAAAGCCATGAGCCACATGCTAGTATTGCTAAATGCTGTCATCAAATAGGGCAATATTTTGCATAAAATTCTGTTTGCAACAGCATTGATTATCATCTGTTGAGCGAGAACTAAATAAATAATTCGAGCTAGCAAGAGCACCAGTACAAATTGACTGATGATTCCATTGGCAAGAAGATAAAGACCAGTGCCAACTTCTCGTGCCTTTTGTTGTTTAAACGTGATAATACCCAAACCGTTGAATATCAATCCGACGAAAAAGAAAATCATGGGTCCAATGAAATGAACATAATCACCTTGTGTCCGTTCGATGAGCATTTCGAAATCAATAGAAAAACGACTAAAGGTAAATTGGCAAAGATCACCCGATACACATTTCGGACAAACACAAGCGAAATCACTTCTATTTTGAAGATTGCCTTGAATGCAATAACCTTGATTGATGCAATAGGAACAATCCATATTGCGTTTCTCATACGATATGCATTCGCTCCCATTCGTCTTTCCACTACAGTAGCAAACATAATTCTTCGTATAGAAGCACGGTTGATGGTCAGACTGAGAACAGTAAGTGTGCAAAAGTTTGACGGATGAATGTTCGGAGATTTCAGTACATTGTAGAGGTTGTAAATCAAGATCGATATTTAAATTTTGCAATGTGTTGCTACAATTTATATAAAGAATACTAAGATAAACAGCGACGAAGGACGTTTGCGATTCAAATGTATACAAGAGACCGATTTCTGGTACACTCCGGCTATGTTTCACGTCTCGTGAATTGATCAATTCCATAACAGGAAAATCAGTTGATTTTGGCACCAAAATTTGTTGTCGTAGCCGTGGATAGTCGGAGGAGAATTGTAGTAGCTGTAGAAGAAATGCTTGCTCGTTGGCCTGTCGTCGATTAAGTATCAGAATAGATTCTGGTGGTTTACACGTTTTCGATCCATTGCACAAACATGTGTATCCATGTGGAGGTAAAACAGAGAAAGGTGAGCAAATTTCATCTGACGAACATGCGCTAGATTTCTGGTCACAAACAGTATTACGAACTAAACAATGAGGTGGAAGATATCCATGTGGACAGACGCATACATCCTCACTGCGGACAAGAGCGTGTAAAGCACATTTCGTTTGTTCGAGAGATTCATTACACAGTTTACCTTTCCAACCATGTTGACAAAGACATAAATACTCATTTAGATTCTGATTAACGATAACATAGCATGTTCCATTATTCTGGCAAAGATTGTTAAGACATAGCCATGGTAAAGAGCGATCAGGAAATCGAAGTATTTTGGCTAATCGAAATACAGGAAGAAATCCTATTGTATTGATTGAATATTCCCAGATCCATACTAGTTCAACACCATGATAAGCTTCTAATCGAACTGAATAGTTACCAGTCAAATTGGGACGAGAGTATAGTAAGTACGCGTTGTGCTTCGGTGGAAAATCTTGATCAACATCGACAAATCTTCGATGATCGATTATCAAAGTTTCATTATATAATAAAAAAACAAGAACGTGAAGTACTGGTGGTATGTCTGAGCGATGTCTTCGATCAAAACGAATGCGTACAGTAATACGCCGACGATTAAACTGGCATTGGTTTCCATAGAAACTTGGCGGACAAAAACAGGAGAGCTGTTTGTCACCACCAGTTATCAAAAAGAAACCACGATTGCAAAATCCATGAAGCGAAGAATTCAATTTGATTTTCGAACCGGTATCTCTAGGAGTTGGGGTCGATGGTGTAAAAGTCAGTGGAAAATTATTACAAAACGAGTTGTAGTTAGAAAGACGGCGAATCTTGTTTGATCGGTAGACAGTTTCTAGTGGATTTGGTGAATTTGGACACCATAATAAATGTTCATTTTTTGAACAAGTCTGGTTCGAATAACAACGAGCATTGTGACAGGTACTATTATTGGAACAAGCAAACTGTCTAGTGGCACAATTAGATCGATTCCACAAACAAATAAGCTCATCTGTTTGATCCATGCATTCATAAATACCATTGCAAATGACTGTATGATGTAAACATTTTGTTGCATTGTCACATAGAAAACGATCACCCAACATTCGATGATCTGAACATGAAAAAACGTTACGTTCATCTCTTCCACCAATGCAATCGATTTGTCTATCTCCTGCTTTCGAATAATGTATACACGGACGATACAATGTTTGATTCGAAAGAAATTCTAATGTAATACAAAAGTGTTCTTTTGAATTATTACATTGATCTTCGAGTGACCAATGAAGTTTTGCCATTGAACAATTTAATTCATCTTCACCATTATCACAATCAAATTCTCCATCACACAAGTGTGTTCGATTAATGCATTGTCCAGTACCTTGACATTGATACATTCCGAAAGCACAAATCCATTGTGAACAATTTTTCTCATCTCGACCGTCTCTTGTATCCCAGATCGAATCACAGTGTCGATGAAAAAGAAGTCGCACATTTTTGACACGATTGTCATTGCCAAGACCGGTACCACGGAATACCCAACAAGGATATTCAGTTTCAAATTCGCATCGAAAGAAGGGCCAATGTAGTTCATCCGAAAGTTCATCACTTCCATCTAAACATTCTTCTATTTCATTACCCAATTGCTGGTAGCTAACATATTGTGTAATCAATGCATCCAAACATCGATAGCGATATGGTTGAATCATTTCATAGTTTTGATTTCGTTCATCTTCACCAGACAAACAATCAATATAACCGTCATTGATACGTCTTAGTGACAGCAAATAGATAGAGCCATTACACGAAAATCCTTCTACGTTTGATATTTGAGTGTTTGTGATCAACAACTGAGGAACCTGCATTGAGGAGAGCTGACTACAAAATTCAAGATAGACTATAAGGTATCTAGTATTTTAGATTTCTGATTACATGAGACAACAGCTGACTAAAAATATGAACAATTCACGTTTTTTCATACTAATCATGGTCTCAAAATGGATCTAAAGTAAAGACTCATCGCAGTTGAGCATTAATATACAGTTTTTCTGCTTAAACTGAATGCTGAGTAGATCTTCAGGGTGAGTTTAGCTTCATAACACATTGTTCGTCTCCGAAGGGCTGGGAATTTTTGCAGAAGAGGAGACCTGTGGCTGGAATTTTGAGAGAGATTGATGCTTACCGGTGAGGTACGCAACAGATACGTGGGAAAACGTTTTTATGAAGTGTTACTGTTGCTCATTTGATCCAAGCTTATCAAACGAATGTTTGTGATACTTAGCTCGTCTGTTGCTATTCTCATTGATCAAAGACGGAAGAATCTTAATTTATCGACTGCCAACGATGTCGGTTTCGATTATCTCTCATTCAACGGATAGCTGACATTTTATTACCTTCTTCGTGATAAGCATTCATTGTACTTGACACTACATATTCAATACTGTTGACAAACAAAATTCTCTAAGTGAATCGATAATACGAGAAAATTGATCGAATATGATTTGTGAAGATTGTTTTAAAAATCAGTCAGAACGATTGAAGAAAAACGGAACTTTGCAGCGAATTTTTTTGAAAAATCTGAAGAACATGGCGGGGCAAGGAAGTTTATAGGACAGGAATTGGAGAAGAAGGAAAATCTGTGTTCCATACATCTCTTATTCATCACAGGTGTCTTAGATAACTCACAATACTCTATGAACAACGCTGAAGGAAGCATAAAATCAATACTTCTTCAATGTGATAACGAAGTCAAGAATACTGACTATTGAGATATGTTGCGCTGTTGATTTGCTGCCGATTGACAGAATAAGTGAGATATTGGGAAGAATGGAAACGTAGAAAATAACAGAAATTCTTCATAATTCCAACAGACATCTTTATTTAACGTTGTAGGAATACCGTTGCACATAAATGTTCCATTAAGACAGAAAACATCAGCTGTCAATTTCGGCAGAGGGTCTCCAAAGTTTTGCTTCTCATAAAATGAAATAATACGAGACTTATTATAGAACATATTGAAAACGGGTGATAAAACAGATTGTTCAGGATATTGAATGAGTTCAGGACAGTAAGTCAGGATATGATTCACTGCTTTTTTGCGTGAAGATCCTGCAAGTAAATGGCGAAGACCAAGTGTGCACGAAGTAGTGTTTGTGAATTGAGGAATGCGTCCTGCAAATATTTAGCCACAGTTAGTATTCAATAGTGAATGCATTAATCATATCTGGTGACATTTTCTTGCTTATGAAGATATCTGAAAGTTGGTATCAGTTTCAATGTGCTTGAGTAAATTTTTGCACAGGACAAAGCTTAAAAACTTCAACTCCGCGAATAAGTTCTTAGATATTTAGTTGAACAATACTTCATCTCTTTAGAAGTGCCAATCAATTCTTGATCAAAAAACTGGAATATAATTCACTTTCTTGATAAGATATAAATTGATCGTCTCGAAATCAATGGTATTTGAATTCATCTCAATTCGATTCTATAAAAAGCACAAAACTGTCCATATCTATCCGAAGATCGAAATTCATTCTATCAGAAAACCGATACTATCGATATCATTTATTGAAACATGCATATTATTAATTTTCTTGTAGTATTTTTCAACTATGTAATGATTATAGCTCTTATTCACACGAAGTTCAGGCGAGGAATTTTCCAATAAATATTTATTCCTAGTTTCTATTTTATGAAATAAAATCGAACAGCCCGGTACAAACTTTGTTTTTATACAGTGTAAGTAAAATTTATATTTTCTTTTACAGAGATAAAGCCAGAAATTCCTCATTATAATAAACGTTTATTTCTGATTAAGAATAAAAAATAAACATTATCGTTCTTTCTGCTTTCAACAATAAGATATTTCACTTACCTCGACCATTGTATCGGCAAACACCACTAGGCATTGTTGCAAATTTTTCGATCGTTTCACAGTGGTAAGCAGCATCACGAGCATTCTTACAACTATCCTGATGATGAATCAAGTTTGACCAGGAAATACACTGCCCATCACTACAACTGAATTCATCCTTGCGACATAATCTTTCATCACATTCCAAAGCCGATTTCGTCGGACAATTTGCAAAAACTTCTTTCAGCTTACGTGTTTCTTGTTCGTCGCTTCCATCCATACAATCAACTGTACCATCGAAGAGAAATTCAAGTGGTATGCACATTGAATTTCGACATTGAAACTCGTCCAATGCACACTTTTGAAATTCAAGCAAGTAACATTGAGCTTCATCAATACCATTATCACAATGAGGTATTCCATCGCATACTTGCCGCCATTCCAAACAAAGTAAACCTGCGTTACATTCAATACCATCACTTAAACATGCTGGAAGCTCACCTTCACGTTCATGTGGCTGAAGGAGTTGATTTTTTAATACTTCGTTGATAGTAGGTAGGTCAGGAAATAGTATGTATTGACATGATGATCCAATTCGATCATATGTACAATTACAGATGAAGCTATTTGTTGAACCTGTATTCAAATAATCTGCATAACGTTCAACAACATCAAAGGGAATTTGCCAGTTCAGTAAATCGTCAGTATTGAAGTCGTTTTGTTCGAGAGTGGAGAAATTCCATACCATTCCATTCGTACATGATGATCGATTAATATGAAATGAATCCTGATCTCGACAAAATAACCGGTAATCATACATAAAGCAATGATCTCTCCCTGTATGTGAATATAAAATCCATTCAAAGTTTTGAACAGCTGCAATATTAATGCTCTGCAGAAGCCATAGACAGATCCACCAAATTGTCGCAGCCATTCTCTGATATGAAAGTTCAAATGGTGTATTGAATTTAATTTGCCCTTCAGAATATTTATATGTATTAAACAGCAATACTTGTCAGAGATTTAATTGAAAATAATGTAGAAAATAATGAATGGTTTTAAATTTTTATGAGGCTTAGTGGGCGAGTGTCAAACCAGAAATTATGAACATAGGGCAAACATCGTTATTTTTTCAAATATTATTTATGATTGTCATCAAACTAAAAGTCATGAACAAATGGTAAATGTCATTATTTTCTGTAATGTCGTTCATAATCATCCTGATCAAGATTTATTGCTTAATCAAAGCATCTGGAAGGCAAAATAAATTTGAGATTGCTTCGAACATTTACATGGGAGGACAATTACAAATATTTAGTGAAGTTATTTAAAAATTTGATCACAGGACTCTAGGAAATTTAGTGGTGCAGTCAGAAAAAATTTACAGAGGGGGCAATATCCCTTCACGAGTTTCATATTGTTGGTGGAAAACTCACCATGTAATCAGGGGTATTCAAAGGTAGTTAAGATCAGGATTCAACGAAGTTTTTTGTCTCTAGACAAGTGTTGATTTTTCTCGTAGGTTAGAGTACACAAAAATCTTGCGGGGTCTAACTAATATTCATGCAAAATTATTGGTGTTCAAAAAAATCCTTCAAATGATACAAAAATCCAAAACAATTTCTTACGGAGCGGAAACTTGTTGTAGACTCTAGACACAATTTCTATCTTCACTTATAATAAATGAGGAGAGAAAGATATTGCCACATGTATTTCCAAATTCCTTAACAGTATAACCCCTGAAGACGGTAACGCTGGTGATGATGATTCAAAATGAAGCTTTTCAGAAAGCCAAAATGCTCTTGAAACGAATTCAGGGAAGTATCTCACTCGAATATGTTCAAACACGTGAT